TTAAGGACCAAGAACACACATGAATGCTGGTATTTGAGACAACAGTCAACACGCCTGTACCCTTAGGATGAAAGATGCTCTTGATAGAGAACATGCAACAGATATGGCGTGTCTGAGATGTTACTGCTCCAGGAAAAGTTTCCCGGGTTCGACATCCAACTGTGAGCGCAGGGAGCAGTTACATGGACTATCTGAAGGTACCACCTCCTCTAATAAGAGCCTCTCTGCATACTGTAATGATAAAATCATTTCAATTTTGCCTTAGAAAACTACTGGAGAGAAATGGGCTTCTTTCTGCCCAGAGTTGCAGGGGAAAACACATAACACAAGGCACTGTGTCCCTTAATCGTCCTGTGCCCTGATCTCGGGCTTTTCCATTGCATGAGGACAGTAAATACCTTTATTTTTCAATTCAGTTTGAGATTCTTAGTGATAATAGAAATTCCGTGTAATGCAGAAAAATTTGCTTCAGATAAATACTAACAATTCTTTAGTGTTCAGAACCACACTCTCTCATCTGAATGAAATCAAAATTGTTATGAAGTGATAGTTAATTTTAGTATACTTTTTAGGATACATCTTTACATTTATGAAAAGACCTGCCTGCCTAGCCAATTCTCCCCATGGACTAGAATTAGTTTACAAAGGTTAACCAACAAGTTCTTAAGAGTGGTATCCAGACAGCAGGTGTCTAATAAGTATTCTCAGAGAAAAGCCAAGTTGTAGATTAACTGTAGGTCAATGACCCATAGTCTCGACAACAAGGCTTTGCAAGGAGACTTTTAGATGCACACTTCCCCTTTGATTTTGCAAGAGCCCAACCCATGAAAGTTGTGCCCATGAAAGTTGACTCAGAACTTTGTTTGCTGGGTCAAATTCTCTGACCTTTGCCTCCAGGGACCAGAGAGGAGACACCCTCCTCGGTGTTCAGCGATCTTGTGCAAACCACTAACTGTACAGAAGAAACAGGTTGTCCAAATCTGTTTGAACAGGCTGCCCTAGGGCCCTGGATGCTGCTACAATTCTCCCCTCGAAAAGAGGGTGTGGAACTTAAGACTCTGAGGAAAGGCTGAGACTTTTTCCCAAAACACAAAACCAATGTTCCTAGGGTCTGGCCAGCCCTGCCACCAGCTCTGGGTAGCCATGCAGGCATCGCCCTTGTCCTCACCGGATTCCCTTGGCCTTCAGGACCATCAGTGCCCTCTGAGCGAAGGGGCAGAACCTCATGCTGTAGACGCGGATCAGGCCCTCTGGAACCGGACCCGGAGGCGAGCTTCCTGCAGGAGAGAAGAGGCGGTCATGGCCCAGATCGCAGGGAGATCGGGGACATCCCAGACATCCCCGGTTCCCAGAGCCAGCCTGCCGAGGAAAGCGTCACCTTTCCCCAGGCTCCTGGAGGATGCCCCGGACATGGTTGAGCTGTGCAGGCCGAGACACAGGAGAGTTGCACTCTTGTTTGCAGGCCAATCAGGAAGCCCGTGGCCTCCCCTTATCTTAAAGGCTTGTGTTCAGCCCCGCCCAGACCGCGCCCCCTAGCCCGGAGATGCCCCGCCCCCAAAGAGATCAGTGCTTAAAATAGGAAATCTATTAGGATCACTAGAGTGCTGTCCAGGCCACCTGGAGATTCGCCAATGCTGAGACGTTCAGAGTCACCCCATCCCTCCTTGCCTGTCTGCCTTCACAAAAGACTCTGGCCTTGAACTCTGGCCACCAAGACAAGCCCTGGCAATTCACATGGTACCTGCCTCTGGCCTGCAACCCTTTCCTCTAGGAGCCCTTAGCCCCTACTGTCAGCTCTAGCTCTGCCCCAAGATTTCCAAGACTTTGGTCGTGTGGCCTGGTCTCAATATTCCAGAGAGCTCATCCCTAAGGTCTTGCTGTAAACTATGACAGTGTGGAGGTGGTCTAGCTCCTGGGCAGTCTTCTACCTTTCTGTGAGTAACAACTTACTGTGGGTCACCGTCTCCACACAGGCAAACCGAAAAGAACACACATCTGGCTGTTTTTAGCTACAAGAGGATAGCTGTGCCTTCAAAATTTCACCCATAAAACATTGCTTGGAAGCCCTAGAAAGAGCACAAGCAGACTTAACCACAGTGTGCTTAGGGAATTTAATATCTCAGGTCTATAGAAAAAAAGATGTGACCTCAAGGTCTCTCCAAAACAGTCTCTTTTCACATAGGACTCTGGAAAATGGGGCAGAATCATTGCACCAGGATTCCCATAGCCAATGGTTGCAAGCTAGTAACTCTGGTGCTATTTACAAAAGAATACATCTGGGTTTTGTTTCAAGCTCTACTACTGGAGAAGCAAGAATGTCCTTGGGGCTTGCTCCACTTTTTATCTTAGCTTCTCCTTGTGTTGACTAAAACTATGAACAAAGTACCAAAGTGACTTATGCAGCAAAAACATCTAAAAAACAAGCCAGGTACCCCAGGTCCCTAAAAGGTACATCTGAAAATCCTAGCAGGCAGGGATTCTCATCTGGACAGACTAACAAGCAGAGAGCAACATGAACTCTTCATGAAGTAAAGCAGTATACAGTTACAGTAGAAATCGTGTGTAAGTCCTGGAAGTAAGAGCATACAGAGTATTGGGAAACCTAGGCATCTAACTCTGTTGACCACAGCTAAAACAGCACAGAACTAAATGATTTGTAGTTATAATTAATTAGCCTGAAGAGATTAATTTGAACTAACTGTATTGCTAGATGTTGAAAAATTAAAAATGGCAGGGACAAGATCATATGGACAGGATTGATTAAGTTCAGGTTGGTGAAGGTCGCAGTAAGTGTCTTACAGTTGATATTTAAATAAAAATTTTTCTTTTTACAAATTAAGAGTAACTGAGATATCTGACTATCAGCCTTTACAACACCATATTCCAGACATCAGAAAAGGTATCAGACAGGCTCCAGTCATTTCTATAGAACTGAAGACATCATGGATTCCAAGAATAATAGAGTGTTGCAGACAGACCACTTCAAGAGATGATCACCCCCCCACACAGAAACCATCATCCTGTGGGAACCAGATTGTCCACACAAGCACTAAAGACTCCTCCAAGGTTGTCTTGTGGGAACAGAAAGGACAAACTCATGGCCTGATGAGCACTGTTTAATTGTGAAAACCTCTTATCCACTCCCCTAATTCTTCCTGTATTTAAGTCTAAATCTCATATCAGTACCCTGAAGGAGGGATGAAATACATAAATGGCCATTTTGATTGAAACCTGTTCATACAGCTTTACCATTACATGCATTTGTTTTCTTCAGACCAGAGTTGGGCCTCTAACCCAAGGCTCCAGTTGATAAACTTTCTGTTTGATTTAATTAATTCTATGACTGTCCCTAGCAGGGAGAATGGACTCCACCAAAGAGATTCTATGGAAAGATACTGGCTAAATGCTTGAGTGAGTAAGGTGTCAAAGCCAGAGGCAGCTCTATGAAGAAAAAAATATCTTCACAGTAAGAAGCTAGGCAGGAATAAATGGTATATAAATAAATAAAGGAACTTAAGTTAATCAGAGAGGAGAATGGATTAACTGGTTTATGTATGTAATAGGAATCAATAAACTACAGGCCAAGCTACCATCTCAAGTCTGCCGCAGAACCATGACTGAGTCATAAAGCAAGGCAGAGCAGTAGATGTGTCCTGACTGTGGATTAAATTTAAGACATACAAAACGAAACACACGTTGGTGACTGCAGCCCGTGTATATGCAGTAGAATTAGAAAGCAAAAACAGCTATCTACAGACTTTAGTGTAAAGCGTCCTTCCAATGGGAAGGAAGTGATGGGAGGACCAGTCCATGTGTGCAGGATGAGTCAAGGATTGCGGCCACCTCTGCTCACAGAGCTGGAAGATGGCTCTCGACAGTGGTTCTGCTGTGACACAGGACAAAGAGGGGCAGGGAACAGACAGACTCTGCTGTCTCTTGAGAACTTTCTATGACTTTTTCACTGCCAGTGGCCATGTCAGAGAAGCAGCAAGTGTCAATGGCTTCAGGGGGTCAGCCTACAAGGAAGGAAATCTCTGATGGCTGAATCTCAGATAGGCAAGGCCCCAAGAGCTTTGCCCCAGCATGTCTCTTGCTACCTTGTGCCTTCCCATGTTTGCCTTTGCCATTTTTCTCTGGTATCTGGCATGGTGTGAAAGGGCGTGGGAACATGCCTACTCTAGTTAATGCAATGTGATTATCTCTTGAAAATATCCTGGCCTACTGGGCGTGTTTACCCAGAGATTGCATTGCTGGGTGTTTCATTATTGTCCACTGAATTCCCGGGGTCAGAAGACGGAGAGGGCTCTGTTCTCACACCTGCCTTTCTTCCAGGTTTGCAGGGAGAGAGGACCACAGGGAGTCTCATGTCCCAGTGAAGCTGACTTTGGGATACATTAAACCAGGTTACTGAAGTTACCCCAGGAGGACCTTTCCCTTCCAATTAAGGAAATGGAGTGGAGGGGGAATTTCTTTAAAGTACTTACTTCTGTTTCCCTATTCCTATTTATCTTTACAACATGGAGCACATTTATACAACTTGATAATGTTTGAATAATCAAAACCAAAATTTGAAGATTCTTTCATGAAGTTCGTAAGCTCAAACAAAAACATCAGCAGCTCCTACTAAAACCAAGCCATGCTAGTGGCATTATCAAAAGGTGTATCTGAATCAAGCCATTCCTCAGTATCCATGTAGAATTACTTCCTGGGCCATCTTTGAATGCCAAATTCCATGAATACTCAAAACCTTTATATAAAAGAGGTAGATTATTATGCAAATAATCTAACCACATCCACCCATAGCCATCAAACCACTTCTAGATTACTTGAAAGGCCTCCCAGAAATTTCCAACTTTTCCAACTTTCCAATACAGTTGTTACATTGTATTGCTTAGGGAATATTGACATGAGAAGTTGAATATACTCTACCTATGCAATCTTTCTATTCTATTCTAAGGTAGTCAATTGGAGAATGTGGAATCCTCTGATAGGAATAGATCATATTAGTCTGTCTTGGCTTAATCTCTAAATGTAAGGTCTGTTGAGTAAGAGCTTTTAGATGTGTATACTCTTATCTCAAGAGCAGCCTTAACTAACTTTATGAACACAGGCTACATTTGAGTCACTTCAGCACTCAATAGCTGCATTGCCTTGGGCAAATAACAGAAGCTTCCTACACCCTGACATCCTAATGCCCTGTTATTCTAGAAGAGTACCATGTGGTTGAGAAATTTTATTTGGATCAGTATGGTAAACATTTAATACTTACCATGTGTCTGCCATCTAGCAAGTTTTTTACATTAGCTGCTATTGTGTTTACTATTATTTAAGTGCAGTAGGGAAGACTTCCATAGCCTTCAAAACACAGGCAGTCCCTGAAATGAAATTCCTACCTGCTTGTGTCCTCATCAGAAAACATAAATCGCCGGGCGTTGGTGGCGCATGTCTTTAATCCCAGCACACGAGAGGCAGAGGCAGGAACACAGCTTGAGTCCTGAGCAGCCTGGACACTTTTCTAGAAAGCAGCAGGTCCAGGCATGTACATCAAAAGCTGCCTAACGGAAGTAAAAGAAGGGAGAAGACTCCCAGCAAAAGCTGAGAGAGAAGTGGGGACGCGTGGCAAGACTGGGGAAAACTCCTCAGGGTGGAGTAGGAGAAGCCAAGAGGGAAAGAGAAGCAGAGAGCAGAGCATGAGGGCCTAGGCACAGCGAGGAGCAGAGTCCTCTGTCAGTGTCCCCTGCTGACTTAGCCTAAATCAAACCCGAGATGGAATTTCTTACACACA